ACCACGTATACAGCATGGAGAATGAACACTATGTATAAGCACAAGCTTTAACACAAATTAGTTGGAAATACTCTTTCTGGACCAGTGTAAAGAAAAAAAATTATTATGAGGCAGAAACCAGAGGTGAGGTGCACCTTCCCCCTTCTTCTCTTTGAAAATAAAAACTGAAAATTCTGAGAGCACTTTTTAGTAAGATACTTAAGAAAGACTTGGTGTGTTCCGCCCAAGAGCTCAGACCTTCCTCGTGCAGAGCAAGAACCTTGATGCACACAGAACAAAAAATGAAAAGTAGGTAGCTGCTGGCTGGAAGCCCTTGCAGATTGTAAGGCATCCACCCAAATCTTGACTCGAGCATGTTACCTCCCTGCACATCAGAGGTGAGAGTGCAGGTACCTGAAGGGGCCAAATGACTGATCTCTCATCACACTACAAATAAAAGGAACTCCAGAATTTGACTATTGCTGTGCCATCAGGGTATGTACAAGTGAGGTGGCTGGAGAGCAGCCACCCCTCCGGACGATCGGTCCCGCCACGTGTCAGAGGACGGCTGCACAAGGAGCGAGCCAACCAACAACCTACAACTGCCAAGCTGCTGGGGCTGCGAGTGGCGACTGCGCTTCCGGCTGGGGCAGTGCCACTGAAAGGGGATCCCCACTTCTGATAAGCACTGGGAGCAGGGAAACAATAGGTGATTTGATGAGAGCTGCTCTACGATACTCCTGAGAAGCCCCACAGTCAGCACCAGCCAAAGAGGAAACGGGGAGTTTCCACAGCAACCTGCTCAGGGCACAAAGGCCCAACTGTCTAGGGAGAAGCAATGGAGGTGGCTCAGCACTCCTGTTTTGAGAAGGGGTGGAAGCCTGGAGTCTTTCTGAAGTCAGAGTACCTGCAAGATCATTTCTGTACAGCAGGAGTTTAATTGTGTATCAGTCCAATAACCAGGGAGGACCAGTGCTGGAGGAGGAGGAAGTAGTTACTGCAGGCTTCAGCCTAGCTAAAAGATAAGGGGGAAAAAAAGCTGCAAAAAAAGCATTGCCCTTGGGTCCCTAATCTTACTAACATAGCCCATGACACAGAGAGAAAGAATAATAGCCAAGCTGTCTCTAATAGAGGTAAGAAAGTCATCTCTTGGGCATGTAGGACTGAGACGAAAGAGGAAGCGGGAGGGGAAAAAAACCCAAACACATTTAACTTCAAATGGGGAGATTTATAATTTATTTACACAAATACTAAACAAAATTAGAAACATCTCTGGAAAAGAAAAACCAAAACCGGTGGCCAAAGTCTGATCAGTCTGTGATAATTAATTCATCCACACCCCAGTCTTCATAGCTCCCATCTGGCAGGTAACGACGGATGATTATGGGGATCTTGCGTGCTCTGAAGGGAAGACAGAGAGATGAACAGAAATATCAGAGCCTTCACTGTATCACTTTAGCAGGCAATGGGAACTGAGGTGCTTGGAGGCTTCAGTAAGCTCATCATATTTAACTGAGAGGTGTGTAGCACCAGTGATTTTATATGATATAGTGAAGTCCCAACAACCTTCTGTCTTTTGTAGGTGCAGTGCACTGAACACCCTTAGACTATAAACACCAAAGACCTACAGGTCAGACCTCTGTTGCCAGTGCAGGAATTGAGCCCTGTGATCTGAACCCACTATGAGACAACATAAAGCATCTAACACTGATACAGGGGGAAGAAAAATAGATCAAGGGACTTGAACAAATCCACTTTTTGTTTGACGGAAGATTTTTCCCCACATGACACTACAAAAGTGGCAGAATTCTGAGAACTTCCAGGACAAACTGATATTTACAGAGAATTTTGCATCCTGAGAGCACCAGCTACATTTAAAGAAGGAGATATGAAATAGGGACTATTCAGGTACCAAACCCTGTTACAGTTGGGGTGGAGCACAGCACTTGCTAAGGGTGCTTCCAATTAGAAATCAAGAAAATACTGAACACAATGTAACTTAAGAGAAGTAGATTAAAGTCAGCAAAATGTAATCAGTGTGCAATCTAACCAAGTTGAAACCATCAGGTTTCAACTCTATCAGACTTGAAAGGTAATGCAACTTCTTTACATTCAGGGACACTGTTTTTCCAGTAGCAAAGTAGCTCCAACGTTCCAAAACTTACATCTGAATTTTGGCACAGAACAGGATGCCACCACACTTTGTCACACCCTGACTTATTTTCCAGAGCTCACGCTCAGGCAGTGACCAGAAGCAAATCAGTCTGAGCTTGAAGATCTGACAGGAACATGACCTAAGGAGCTTCTGGCCATGACAAAGGGAGCTGTAATAGATATAAAATCTGCAAGAGCAACTTCAATACACTGAGAAACTGGGGGAGCAGAGGGACAATTTAGTTCCAGGACAGGGACCTACTCAGTAACAGAGTCCAGTTGCTTGCAGGATACCTGCACGTGATACAGATCACTGACTGTGCAGGCAAATTGTGGGACAGCAGGGAGCTCTGCAGTGGAAAAGTGGGCCTGCAAGTGGTCATCCAAAAGCTGCCTCTGCTACAGTCAGAAAGGATTTACTTACCTTTCTGTAAGCAGGGGCCAAACACAATAAGCCAAGTGTGCAAAGGTGGAGGAAACAAACATTCTCACCAGACTGACCCTTACTTTAATTTTTGCCAGGACTTCATTCGAACACAGGTCTGTTCAGATGGCTGCTTTGAAACAATTCCATTTGGGAAATTAAACTGAATAAAGAAAGATGAGGACCTTGAGTTCCCAGCACAGAAATAAAGAACACCTGGGACTGTGAAGTAGAAGAGGTCCACAGCACTCCTAATCATCAGTTATTTACGCAAGCAATGAGGATGAAAGACAGCAACTGTGGAGAAGCTCCAAGGTGCAAAAAGGGGAAGGGTGTCGTAGAGCTCATTGTTATTGAAGGAAGACAAAATTATCTTGGAATAAACTGCTAAATGCTGGGATGAGGAGAGGACTGCTTACTTTAAGGGGAATCAATACACTCACCACCAAACCTGTAACTTACTTGAGTTCTTTCATGGCAATCAGCAAGGGGTCTGTCTCTCCTTCTAGCTCAACCATCACAGGGGCACACATCCTGGGAAGAACATCAACAACCACTTAAGTAAACACACAGAGAAAGAAAAGGGATAGCTAAACATCTGCCTGCCTATGTCACCTGTACAATGGCCAGTAAAGTAGGAGGGTGGGCCTGGCAAAACTGATTTGCTCTGTTACACACTTCAAGAAAAAAATTCTCCCTGCTGGCTACAGAAAGAACTTTTACTTGAATGTTCTTCTTGTCCCATCCCTCAGCCTCTGCTGACCAGTTCCTGTTCAAGGATGGTTAAATCCACACTCCTCTCGTTGCCCTCTGCTGTGCTTAAACGTGAAGAAATGAGCAGTTCCACAACTAATCCAATGGAAAGGGTGGAACTGCTATATATTGAGCACACCTCCTGCAACTCCAGCACATCTCTTATGTTCTGACTTGCTCACAGCTTCCAGGTTTTGATCAGGGGAAGAGAGGGGGTGGATTTACAACATACTTTACCTCTAGGAAGCAAAAAATTAAGCATTTTGCAATGGATTGTGATGACACCCATCTACTGAGCAGTGGCAGCAGAGAAAGCTCACGTTATATGTGGGTGAGGCCACAGGGGCTGCTTGCCTGAGTTCGGCACCAAGATGCAGGTGAAGTAGAACCAGGTGGCAGAGTGTTGTGGATTAAAGGCCTGGCATGGGCCCATCTCATCTCCCCCCATCTTTCTGACCTTCTGCCAGTTGAAAGAAGGTACATAGAGCAGAGGCTGTGCAGAGAACAGCTTGGAAAAGTGGTAAGGAAAACTCTGACCACTACCTGAGAGCTTCTAAACGATGCAGAACAGAGGCCTCATTTTGAGGGTCAAGCCTTGACAGCACTTAAAATAGGTTCTAAATGCTATTAGCCGTTATAAATGACGCCTTATTATTGCAAGTACTTTAAAAAACTTACAGCTTGCCACAACACAATTGCCCTCAAAATGGATTTCAGGTTGGTTTCTCCTATCCCAATTCCTACACCCTGATGGTATCAACTGAAGACATTTCAAAGCATCCCGCTCTCCAACTGGCTTTTACAAACCAGTTATGAGCTTTCCAGTCCACATCGGCTCTCTTAGGAAAGACAGAAACCAGAATCAGCATCTCCCATTCTGTACTAATTTTTGCCTGTGACTTAGGAAAATTCACAGGGGCTACTAAATGCTCCCCCGTCTCTAGGTGCAAGTAGCACAGACTCAGCCAAGGAGAGACACAGAGACTTCAGGTACAACCAAGAGCTCCACGGTCCTGGGCTTCAGCGTTGACCAAGAGGACGACATGCAAGCTCAGCAGTCAAGCAAAGGATCCAGGAGTTTTTGGGGGAAGAGGAAAGCACGTTTCAGTGCAAAGGGAGGTGCAGCGGCAGTGGGGACGCAGCGAGCAGTACTCACGCTATCTGGAGCGCACGAGTGCCCAGGACCCTGGCTCGCTCGTACTTGGTCATGTAGGGTGTTGTAATCCGCTTCTGGTTCGCCTGCTGCCGCTCTCCCGAGGGCAGGATTTCCACGTTCTCCTGTCCCTCCTGGCAGAAAGCAGATCGGCATCGCAGCTCAGCTGCGCCCGCCGCCGAGGCCCTGAGGTCCCGGGAGGGCCCCCGGGGCCTCCCTCGCACCGGCCCAGCGGGACCGGCAGAGCCGCGGGGCACTCACCTCCTCCGCGTTCTCCAGGTCCTCCAGGCCCTCATCCTCCTCCACATCGTCGAAGTCGTCGCCATCAAAGCTGCAGGGAAGACACAAACGTCACAGGCGGGGCCGCCTCCCCCCGACCCTCCCCGAGGCGAGACACGCCACTGCCACCCGCTCTCCGTGCCCCCGGCCGCCCCGCTCTCACTTGTCTTCGTTGTCAGACATGTTGCCCGCCCGGCGGAACTGGGAGGTGCTTCCAGGAGCCAATTCCGGGCGCTGCTGTGACGCCGCGGGAACCCATCCGGTGCCGTTGCCATGGCGACAGCCGCCGCGTCCCGCCCGCCACCCCGGCCGCGCCGCTCGCCGCCCGTCGCGATGGAGGCGCTGGGGACGCCGGGCCGCGGCGGGGGCTCGGGGGCGGGCAAGCGGGCCTCATACAGCCCGGGCACCCGGGAGCTGCTGAGAGGTAACGGCGGAGCGGGCCCCCCCCCCTCATGTCCCAGTGCTCCTGCCCGCTGCGCCTCGCCCGAAGGAGAGCGTCCCACCGCGGTCTGGGAACCGGGCGGGCCCGTCGCTGGTGTCGCCGCCCCGGCTGGAGCCTCCTAAACCCGCATGTTCCCCGCTGTGTTCGGGTCGTGACGGGGGGTGGCCCCGGGGCGGGTTCCCCAGCCCGGCCCCGCTGCTTCTTCACGCACACGTCGTGTTTTTCAGCGATGATGGAGGAGCTGAAGCTGACGCATTCCCAGAGGCGATACCTGATGGACTGTGTGAAACGTGAGTGAGGCGCCCGGGCTCTCCCGACCGCTGCTGTGCTGGTGGTGAAGAGCTTTTGCCGCACACCTTGAGACGGGGCCGTTCGTCCACAGCCTGCTTGGATGAGCAAGTGCTTTAAAACAGCAGCACGGCAGCTGCTGACACTCTGGGATGTGAAGGGTGAGGTGTCCCTAAGGGTCAACCAGGAAACAAGGCACAACAAGGTGACTTGAACCACAGTCTGTCTCATGTCAACACGTACCAACGACCAGGGTGAGGCATCTGTGGCATCTGGAGTCTTTGCTTGTGTTGCTACAGTAGATCAACAGGCAGATCTGCTGGCAATAGCCAGGATCACTATGGTCCCTTCTATCTCATTCACTGTTATTTTTGGTTTGTTCCCCAGGAGGAAATGCCCTGCCCCTCCAGTGGCCCCCCACATCCAACAAACAGCCAGTGCCTGCTTTGTGCCCGCCAGCCAGTCAGCCATGCAGGCTTCCAGCTAGACCACATCTCCGACCTGCCAAGGTGTGCCAGGCAGGAGATGCCTACACCCGAGAGAAGTTCAAGCCACAGCCCACACGTAAGTTGGCAAACTTTGCTGATAAATACATGGTGACCCCTGGACCCTCTCTTCCCCTTCTGTTCATCCCCTGCCTGCAGTCTCAGTAGTGGCAGGAGGTATCTGAATTGCTTCATGTCTTCACACTTTCAGTCTTCAGAAATGCTTTAGAAATGGATCTCTGAGGGAACATCTACTTTAAGTGCTTGCTGACTTCTGCGCCCCAGCTCAGGGTGGGGACAGGCAACTGGGGCCTGCACAGTCCTTGAATAAGAAGGAAGCACTGTGTGACTTTCTAGCACATAAGGGTGAATCAAACCTCTAATGTCGCTCTGATTGGCTCTGTCCGCCTGCGTGGTGCTTGCACAGTTCAGTCCTGGGATGGACTGATGTTAATGTAACATCTCCTCTGTCACCGCGTGCAGGGAAGTGGCGAAGCCAGGCTCCTCCCTGAGGACACAGGCTGATAACAAATTCCTTTCCCTTGGCATTCACAGGAGATTTGGAAAAGGAGAAGCAAAGACTTCAAAACATCTTAGCAACAGGGAAGGATGAGGTGGAGGACGAGGTGGAGAGGGTGCCGATTCGGACAAAGGAAGAGGAGATACCTGAGCTTGATCGATTTGAAGAATGTAGGTCTTTACACCCCCTGGAGGGAGCAGGCGGGAAGCCTGGGAAGCCAGCTCCCTCCAAGGGCTGGGGTGGCAGGCTGTGTTGCCAGTAACCTGAAGCCCATTGCAGAAGGAGGCACAAAGCCCAGTTTCCAAGAGAAAGGACTTGCCGCTGTAGTGCTGTGATCCAGCCATCCTTGCAGAGCTTAGACTGCCTAGGTTTCCTGGCAGATTAAAGCTCCCTGAGCTGCCTGCACAAAATGAACTCTGCCAGCAGGGGTGTACCCTAGGGATGTGCAGGGTGACCTGGGCAGCAAGCCCAGGTACTGCGGGTCCTTTCCCCAGCAAGCGTAACTCAGCATAGACTAGGTCACTTTCCAGCCTGACCGTGGTTTGGGGCTGTTTCACTGTAGGATCACAGCAGTTACACTAGCAAAGCTTAAATGCTGAGCAAAATTTTAAGCAGTAAAAAACTTTGGCCTGCAGAGTATTCTAGGATAGCAGAACCCTGCCTAATACCTCTTCAATATGTGTGTACACTCAGCCAGCCCTTCGCTAGCCAGGACGGCACAAAGATGGGCCACACCAGAATAATGTGTACAGAAGGGGTGCTTTGGTCCCTGCTGCAGGGAGCCAGTGCAACTGGCATCACACGTGCTTGGTATCCTCCAAAACTTGTCACAAGCTGAGTGTTGTCCTTGGCACATCTGTGTCAGGACTTGGACCACCTGGCTGCAGGTCTGTCCTGCAAAGCAGCAGCTAATGTTCTGTGCCTGGTCCTGGGAGCAGAGATGGTTGAGATAACTGGGTGATATGTGTCAACTAATGAACCTCAACAGCAGGTTCTCTCTCCAACCACAGACTGGTTAAATTGCCCACAAGCAACAAAGAATTGTCTCTCCAAAGAAACCTACCATTCCTGGAAGTTGGGGAGCAGTAAGAAGTTGGGCAGAGGGGACATTTCCCGCTGTGGAAGGGACTACTCGGGTATTGTGAAGATGTACAAAATGAGTGTTAAGAACATCACCCTGCCTCTGGTGGGACTGCTGTTCAAGCAGAGCTAGGAAATTGGTTCAGAACGAGAAAGCAACTTGTTTTCTTGCCTTTTGGGTGCATCCTGTTTCCACAGTTCTTTCTCTTATCCATTAGTGGTGAATGAAATTCAGGACAGGAGGGAATTCCTGGCGCAGATGGAAGCTCTAGGACAGGACAAGGAGTATAAAAGGATTGTCCTTGCTGAAATCTCACAGGTATGCAAGGGCCTTGTCTGTACAGTAAGTGGAGGGAATGCCTTGTGTCAGAGACCATAAAGCAGAGACCTCTGGTATCTGAGCACGGAAGGGGGCAGAGAGCTGTTTGCCTTCATGACACAGCCAGGCGTGAATTTGGGGAATGGTGGGTAGAGGCTTTTCAGCCTTTCTTTTCATCTCTGCATGTAACTCAATCAGGGAAATTGAACTTTTGTTCTCGAGGTTGGTAAAAGAAGAAAAAAAAAGCTGCTGGCTTTCTCCCTGCTCAGCCCTTTCCCTTTGTACTTTGCAGAAAATGCATGAGATGGAGATCATTGACAAGAAGAGAAGTGAGGAAATTAGAAAGATGATGACAAAAGACTTCCCTGGTGGGAACAAATCTGATCTCCACGACTAGTCTAAGGACAAAACACAAGTGCAGTTTGTTCCCACCTCTTCTTCCCAGACTCTCGACATCAGAGTCTCAAGGACTGATCTGTTCCCAAAGAGGGGGCAGCACTATCTGTTGCCCAGCGGGCAGGACCAATTTGTACATAAACGGCGACAGAAGTTGTTGTAAAATCCTACCCACACACCGGATCCCCTCCTGCTCAACAATATTAAACACATGGCAATCAAAACATGACAAAGCAGAGCCGCCTTTGCCTATGCAATGCCTCAGTATAGCAATCCACCCATAGAAATGTCCCTCCTTCCCATCTACCCAGAGGTGGACATTTTTTGTGACAGCAAGACGCTAACACACACACACTGCCACCCATACCTGCAGCCCACTCACTCCTGTGCCTCCTGACTCAGGGAACAACTCAGGGAATGGCTCTGCTGGCAGAAGGCAGGGAGGAGGATGCAGCTGTGTGGCCTTGCGCAAGCACGAGCCCCCCCTGATGTTGCTGCAGGTCAGTGTGACTGTGCATCAGCAAACCTCGGGCAGCAGCTGAGCTGGGCAGTCACTCAGGAACACAGTCACAGGAACACAGCTGTGCTGAGCAGGGAGAGGGGATTTTGGAGCAGCACCTGCCGCTCTTGGAGGCGGGTTTGCTGTGGTTTTTTGGTTCCTGAAAGTATGGTATGCAGAATAGCCATTGGGTTCTCACAGAGACTGGAAATGGCCGCTTGCTCACCTCAGACAAACTCACACCTTTGTACTCCAGCAGGCTGAAGCATGATGCCCTGCTTTTCCTGTGCAAATCCCAGCATAAAGTCCAGTTTCTGATTTCCTTAAGATCCCATCCTCTGCTTCTAAGCAATACCCTTGTCAGCCACTCACCAAAGCCAGGCAGCATGCCCTGTCCAACATGACTACACAAAGGAATCAGAAACCTAAGTCAAGATCATTTTTTAAATCCAATGGTTCTTTTATTTTTGTTCAGGTGAATGGAAGTCACAGAGTTAGTACAGTATAATTTACAAATCAATCTTCTGACTGGGTGTGGGGCCAAGGGGTGTTGGGCTGCAGTGATCCCAATGGCCTTTGGCAACAGTGACATGACAGTAGGCTTTAAAGCAGGTTTGTTTCTCCTTGTAGAAGAGTTGTGCTTTGGGATCTCCCCTCCCCTACCACTGCTCCTCATCAGCCTGCGGGGGTAGGGAAGGGTGAGATGGCATCACCAGCGCAGGGCTGAGCTGGCCAACTCCCAGCCACGGGGGCCACACTGGGACTAAGGAGGGGCTCGGGTCCTTCTGGTTTTGGGAAATGAGGATCCCTTTCCAGAATGCTATGCCAGCCACCTTGCAAGGCACTGCTCTGAGAGCATTTTGGCTAAAGCCTGTTGGGTTTTTAGAAGGGACTGCAGCAGATGGCTCAGGGCTGGTTAAGTCTAATTTGCTAATGAGAAGGCATGATGAACAGCTGACCAAACAAACATCCATGAAACTCTACTTCTGGCTGATCCAACAATTCAATAAATAATTCTCCTCGCCTTGAAAGAGAAGGCAGGAAACAAAAATGGAAGGGAGAAGGGATGGTTGGAAGAACACCACCCCCCATTCCCTCCTCCAATGTACACACACGCACACACACAACAAATAAAATAAGGGGTTCAAAGTTTTAGGATGGGTTTGAATTCATGTAGTAAAGGAGGTGTAAAAAATAACCAGCCAACACCTGCACACTTTTAAAGTATACACAGACAAAGCTGGGTAAAGGTCAGTTGTGACCACGCCTCTCTCCCAAGCCGCTCAAGGGTGGCACTGGTGAGCAGGGACACAGCCTAGTGCCCCTTGCCAGCGCTGAGTCAGTCTTGAGCTTTTCTGTCCTTGCCTAGAGAAGGGACGTTCCTCCCTCCCCAGGAAGGCAGCAGTGGTGTTTAGCAGCAGTGGGGGTCCTGAGTAGGGCGTGTGCGCTATGTCCCAGCAGCTGTACACTGTCCCCGTGGGTCCTCTCAGCCTTTGTGACAGAGTCCACCCAGCCCTGGCGCTTGAGGGAGGGGACAGCTCAAAATAAATAGGGCATCAGTTATTTTTTTGGCTATGGCTCTAGAGCCTTGTGACACGGGAGTGTTTTCTTAACCTTTTAGTTTAGGCCAGTAAAACCCAAAGAATCCTGATTCTAATGTCAGAGTTTTCTCCCGAAGTTAAAAATGGGACAGAAAGGGCACAAGAGCAGGCAGGCAGGAAGGGACAGGGAGGCTCAGTCCCCTCCTGGCATAAGTCAGAGGCACGTGGAACTGTCACAGTTAGAGCAGGAGAAAGGACGGGGTGCAGTTAGTGCAAGTTTTCCCACAAACACAAAACTCCTTAGCTTGCTTCTCAGTTAATGACAAGAACGCGCAACGGGGTAACGTATCTGAGAAGCAAATCCATCTTCTCCCCACCTCGTTAGCAAGGCTTCATGGAGAGGATGGCCATGCCCCTGTGCAGCCTTGGGAAGGGGAGTGCTTTGGTCAGACTCCCCCACTCTGGGCTGAGGGCTGGCATCTCCCTGGGGAGGGAGCAGGGGGGAGAGGCAAGCCAGCTGTGGGGGAGGCCAGGGCCATCTGGCAAGCACTTCCCTCCCACTGCTGGTGTTCCCCTGCTCTAGCTTTTCTCCTTGGGTGACTTGCTCTTGGAGTCATGCTTGTTGCCCAGCAGCTTAAGCACCTTCATGGGCTTGAATTTGCCTTTCTTCTTGGTCTCAGTCTCCGTCTCCCTGTGAAATTCTGGGATCGCAAAGGGAGGTTGTTACTGTGGGATGTCAGTGGTGGTACAGACACATGCATGACAACAGGGTCAAGAGAGAGAGCCACGAATCAAAGGCCTCCACTGTATGCACACTTCTTTCTCTGATAGCATTGGGGAGCAGCACAACTGTGCCTCGAACTTTAGTGGCCCTACAGGAAATTTTACCGAGTTTGCAGAGAATAGATTCAATCTCTCCTGCACAAAATTTCACAAATGGCTCGTGCTGCCCCTTGCTGGGGTCAGCAGTGAAAACACCACTCCAAAAATCTTCCGAATTGTTTCTTACCTTTCCTTTTAATCATGGCTTCTAACATTTTATCCTCCTCCTCTTCTCTGAAAGAAAGAATGGGAAAGAGCTCAGCAATTCAGCCCTGAAAACAGCTGCTGTATTGTTAAAGGCTAGAGAGCCTCCTACTTAGAAGCCACAGAGGGCAGATCCATCACTGTCTTGTGAGCATTTGCTACCAGCAGGTTAAATCCCACATGCTGCACTTACTGTCCTGTCTTTCCCACACAAAGCATTCAAAGAGACAAATATTAGGAAGCCTGCGAAAGACATCAGCAACATGGACATCTTGGGACACCCCCACGAGTTGCTCATGTGGTGCTGAGTCAGATGGGCTATGCTTTTCCCTTCTCCCCCAGCCCATCCCACTCCTCACTCACCTCTGCCGGTCCTCGTCCAGGCAATTCACAATGGCATTCCTCTGCTCAATGATGGTCACCAGCTCCTGCATCAGCACCTTCTCCCTCCCTCGGTCCTCGTCAGTCCAGTCCTTCTCTACCCACCCAAACCCCAAAGAAGGACAGGCAATTAAAGGGCTGAAGGAGTGCTGAAATTCAGAGCTTCAGGGCAGAGATCCCCAGCATGATCCCCTCTACCCTGCCATGTTGTAGAGCCAGTTGAACTGACAGTGCTTTGGTGACAGAGCCCTGCATGTGTCATCCCACTGGGACAAAAGGATGCACATCCCTGCACAAGGCTGGGGCACACAAGGAGCAGTGGCTCTAGACCCAGCTGACTGTGCTGGCATCCCTACAGATCTGCCTCTCTTCACCTGAGACCCACCTGGACAGAGGGGAGATGATGCCCAGGGAAAAAATGATCCTTGTGGGGTCCCTTCTGACTCAAAAAAAAGGGGTAACCACACCCAGAATGGTGCTTTACCTGGCTTGTTGAGGAGGCACCGCAGTTCATACTCCACGTCTGACTGTCGCTGCTCCAGGTTCTGCTGCTTGAAGCTGCAAGGGAAGGGGGAACTGCTGGGAACCACTGCAACTTTCCAGAAAGGAGGAACATCATCCCAAAGTATGGGGTGAGCTTGGAAAGAACCACCCAGATGCTGATTTTGTCCTGCATATCCAGGGAGCCAAACACCAGCAAGGACCAGCCCTGGCTGCTCAAGGCCTTTCTGGAGGAGATACTGCAGAGGCTCTGGTGACTTGCTGTGGATCAGTTGAGTATATCTGGACAGATTTGTCTGCTTGCCCTTTCTCCCTCCCTTCTCTAGGCAAGGAGACCCTGTCAGGCTCTCCCTTGGAAACACCATTTCAGAAGGGCTGAGAAAGGGCTCCCCGAAAGAGCGTCAGTGCCTCTCCACACTTGCATACACTCACATGTAGATGAGCTCCGACTCGTGGCGCACTAGCATGTGCTTCTCATGGATAAGTTTGAACCAGTCCACAAGCAGGCTGTCCTCAGGGTTGTCTGCCAAGCAAAGGGACAATTCAGAGCCATTCCCAGCCCTGGTGATGGAGGATTCCATCACCCTGCAGCAGGCTGGGCTCTGCCAAGCCAGAGAGGGGTGCTGGGCTATGGCCAATCCAACCTCAGCCTGTTCCTGAGTCCCAGAGAGAGACCTTAGCTTTTTTGCCACATGTTTTAATTCTAGGGACATCTCCATGTCCAGGGTATGGTTGTGACCAATCTTGGAGCCCAGCACATCCTATTTTGCTCTTCCAACCCCAGCATCAGTAGGGATGCTACAATCTCCTTTGCTGGAGAGAGGGCAGCCCTAAGGTCCATCCTGCCCCCCATCCACAGACAGCCCTCCCCACATACCATTCTCAGCACTGCGAAGCTTTTCCTCCAAAGCCACCCCACGGTGCTCCAACTGGTCCAGCTGATGCTCGATGGCATCCATCTCCCCATAGATGTCTTCTTCAGGGATGTACTGATCTGTCTGCACCTGCCAAACCATAAACCACCACCGTCCAGTTTCCAGGGGTAACTCAAAGGCTGGTCAACACTAACAGGGCCAGAGGAACAACAGAATATTCCACCTAAGGGTAGATCTGAAATCCCCATCCCACTCTGGAGCAAAGGGAGACCATGGTCCTGCCATGAACAGGGTCTAGTCTACACACCATCCTCCCCAGCCACAGCCACCCGCTGTATCCCTGCCCACAGATGCATTACCAGGGTGCACGTATATTGCTACAGCCCTGCTCCTAAGGGCCCTTTTACCT